CAACTTCTGACCTGGCCCAGTCTGTAACACCCCTATTGACTTTTCCATCTCTGCCCCATCATCACACGGGCAAAACCTTCACCCAAGGATGTGCTGCCAAGTGTTTAACAAGTGGCTTTCCAGTAAACATACACACAATTTGATATTTAAAATCTGCATCACTAACATTTTCTCCATCACATTCCTAAGTCTTATGCCATCAACAAAACAATAAATTAAGCCCTGATTTGTGGTATTTGCTGATTTCCAAAGTGTCGATGCTCATGCCAAAAATTTAACAGTCAGCAATGCAAGCCCATAGAAGCTGGTTCTAGTATGCCCATATCTTCACCTCTATAACCTTTTCCTTCGATTGGAGATTGGATCCTTCATTTGAGGAAGTACCCACACCTTCTCTGTTCATTTTAAACCCATAACTCTCTGGACTACTTTTCTAGCTTGTCCTCTGCAGGTACTTATCTCATCTTACCCTTTTCTTTTTTTTTTAATATAAATTTATTTTTAGTTTTCAATATTCACTGCCACAAGTTTTTGACTTCCAAATTTTCACCCCATCTCCCCCCTCCTCCCACCCCAAGATGGCATGCATTCTGAATATCCCTTCCCCTAGTCTGCCTTCTCTTCTGTGACCCAGATCCTCCCTTCTCTTATCCCCTTCCCCTTCTATTTTCCTGTAGGGCAGGATAGACTTCTATACCCCATCTCCTGTATTTCTTATTTCCCAGTAGCATGTGAAAACATTTTTTTTAAACGTATGCTTTTAAAACTTTAGGTTTCAATTTCTCTCTTCCTCCCTCCCCATCCACCCTCATTGAAAAGGCAAACAACTCAATATAGGTTATGTATGTGCAGTTATGCAAAACACTTCCATAGTAGACATGTTGTGAAAAACTAACTCTATTTCCCTTAATCCTATCCTGCCCCCCATTTATTCTATTCTTTCTTTTGACCCTGTCACTCCTCAGAAGTATTTCCTTCTGATTACCCCCTTTCCCAATCTGCCCTCCTCTCTATCATCCCCCTGCTCTTGTCCCCTTCTCCCCCTATTTTCATGTAGGGTAAGACAGATTTCCATACCCAATTGAATGTGTATGTTATTCCCTCCTTAAGCCAAATCCTATGAGAATAAGATTCACTCATTCCCTCTTACCTTCCCGTTTCCCCTCCACTGTAAGAGACTTTTCTTTTCTGTTCTTTTTTTTGTGAGATAATTTACCCCATTCTACCTCTCCCTTTCTTCTTCTCCAAGTATCATCCTCTCTCATCCCTTAATTTTATTCTCCAGATATGACCCCTTAATCTTCAACTCACTCTGTGCCCTCTATCTATCTATCTATCTATCTATCTATCTATCTATCTATCTATCTATACATACATATAATTTTTTTCTTTCAACTACCCTAATACTGACAAAGGTCTCATGAGTTATAAATATCGTCTTTCCATGCAGGAATGTAAACAGTTCAATCTTAATAAGTCTCTTATGATTTCTCTTTCCTGTTTACCTCTTCATGTTCCACTTCAGTACTGATTCATATTTTTCTTGGAGGCTTTGGATGTAGGAGCTCTGACTTTGTTGTCTTCTTCTAGTTGTATATTTTGATCTTCTTTGTCACCAAAGTAAGATAATATAGTCTGACTCTTTTTGCGCTGCTTGCTCATGATCCCAGCCAATTACTTGAGTTTTAAACTCTTTGTTAAGGGAAGAGTCTGCTTCCAATGTGGAGAATGTACTGTCCCAAGCTTTGGGGGTTTGTACAGCTGTTTTCAGAGATACTTGTAGGGACCTGCAAATTTTCAGTTCTTCCAAGGTGGTATGATAAGGGGCGAGGTGTTTACTCCTTTCCTGGCCTGTGGCCACAAGTATTCCTTTCTGTCCTGTAACTGTGAGGAGGGGTTTCTCTCCACAGCCACTACAAGCTCCACCACGCCAGCGCTCCTCCTCACCTCAGCACCGCTGCCCAGAACTGTGACCCAGATCCAAACATGGGCAAAGCAAGAGATTCCTGCCTCAGCACTGGCAAAGAGATCCCTGCAATCCCTCTCTGATCAGCCACTGGATTCTCCCTCAGTCTGTGGGCTGGAAGCTCAGGAAGCAGCTGCTCCCCTCCCCCCCCCAGCACCGGGCTCTTGGGGACTGAAGCTGAGACCCCGCCTTCCTCTCTGACCACCGACAGAAACAGACTTTTCCCAGTGACCTTCTAAGTTGTCTTTGGCATTGGTGGATTGAGGAGTCTGGAAACCTCCACAGCTGCCCAAGATTCAGTCCTCTGAGGCCTGCTCCAGGTTTGCTGCGGCCTGCAGGCCCATGCTGCACTGCGCTATGCTCCCAGCCCAGTGCGATACACCTTTCTGATCCAGGTTGTCTTGGGCTGGAAATTTGTTTCACTCTGTCTTTTTGTGGGTTCTGCTGCTTCAGAATTTGTTTAGAGCCATTTTTTATGAGTATTTGGAGGGATTTGGAGGAGAGCTCAAGTGAGTCACTGCTTTCACTCCGCCATCTTGGCTCTGCCCCTTCATCTTACCCTTTTCAATGACTGTGTTGTGTTGTCTTCTCCCATTAGTAAGCTCCTTAAGGCAGTGACTATCTTTCTCTTTGCTTGTATTTATATTTCCAGTGCCTGACACATAGCAAGCACCTAATGCATTTTGTTTTATCCCTCAACTGTATGGGTGGTAGAAATGCTTTTCTTTCCTTATAGGGTGTGTTAAACCCATTGCTTCTAGAGATAAGGTCATAGACTCTAGAGGCCATCTATTGTAGACCAACCCTTTCACTTTAGAAACCTAGAGATGCAAAGCAACTTGTCTAAGCTCACAGAGGGAGAACGGAGTAAGTAATGGAGCTGGAACTTGAGCCCATATCATTCAACTCCAATTTTGCACCATGCCATGCTGCCAAAGTTATTTGTGGTGTAACAGAAGCAGCTCTGGTGTTGGAGTCAAAGGACATGAATTCAAATCTAGTCTGACACTAGGTGGAACTGTGGGTCAAGGCCTGAGGCGTAGCAGCCAACTACTTGATTCTACCATTATGCCCTGGAGGCATGGGACATGGACCAGCTGGTCTCTGACTTCCTGTGATCTATTCCTTTTTCAAATTTTTTTTTAAGGCAATTGGGGTTAAGTGACTTGTCCAGGGTCACACAGCTAGTAAGTGTCTAAGGGCAGATTTGAACTCATGAAGATGAGTCTTCCTGATTCCAGGCCCAGCGCTCTATCCACTTTACCATGAAGCTGCCTATAATATAATATCTAACATAAATATATTTAATATACCATAATGAATATAATAGAATATATTTAACACATTATATACATATAATAGAACCTATATTTAATGTCATAAATATAATAGTATACATTTATGCAAAACTATAAATATATTAAGCAATATAACAATGTGATATAAATATATCATCTGAAATAATACAACCTGTGGGTGTGGAAGAAGAGCTTGGATAGGCTTGGGGACACTTCGCTGTCTTCCTCTTAGAGAGAGGTTTAGGAGAGAAATGTCTTAGGGAGGAGAGGAACAGGTCTGAAAGACTGGGTCTGCCCGACTTGAAGGCAGGAGGCCTGGGCTCAGAAATCTCGCCTTGGGCATTTGCAAGCTCAGTGACCTTATTCAACCTCTCCGAGCCTTGGCTTGCTCCTTGGTGAAATGGAGAGAATACCCACGCTGCATTTCTCCCATGAGAAAAAAAAAATATGTGTCAAGGGTTTTGTAAATGTTAAAGGGCATATGGATGCCAGTCATTATCAGAGTCAGAGGAAGCGAAGCAGCCCCGGTAGCACAGTGCCTTAGGTCAGCCCGACTTCAGTGTTGTGCAATGGCTCACCTCATCGCCTGGGATGTCACCAGTCAGAGCAAGCTTCTCTCTGGAAGCTCAGTCCTGGTACAGGCCGGACAGTTAGCTCTTGGTTTAGTGTGGCTGATCAGGAGACTTGTAGAGCAGGGTGGGGTTCTTAACCTTTAGCATGTCAGACCCCTTTGGTGAAGCCTATGGGCCCATTCTCGAGTATTTTTTTTGTGTGTAAAATAAAATACATATACATATGTATACATACATACATATATATGTATATACATACATACACACGTTTATAGACTCCAGGTTAAGAATTCCTGCTATAGGGGGACCAAGTGACCGATGACTTGGGAGGGAGAGGGTTAACAATGATGGTGGGGAGCTTATAGTTAGGCTAGTCCCAATAAAATGTAGGTGATTGGTTTTCCTCCCTGGCTGCCTCTCTTCCCTATTCTATGTCAGCCCCATCCCTATGTCCCTATCACTCCTCCTGCCTTCCCATCATGCTCTCCAGAACCCTTGTTCTATTGTTAATAAACCCACCTTTCTCCTGAAGTCTATGCCTTCCCCGCTCCCTCCAGTTTCTCTGTGTGTAACTTACCCATTTACATGTTTTTACCCCTTTAGACTATAAGCTCCTTGAGGGCAGGGAGTCTTTTTTCCCTTTGTATCCCCAGCTCTTAGCACAGTGCCTGGCACGTAGTGGGTGCTTGATAAATGTTTGTTGAATGAATGGTAGATACTTAATAAATCCTTGTCCGTGAAAACACATCAATAAGTAAGTGACTTAGGAGGTGACAGAGTGCTACTAACTGGAGGGTTGTAAGGGAAACTGAGGATAGATCCTCCCCAGCCCCCTGTGTAACCATCTTATGACCTAACGATATAACTGCCTCATGACCTGACATAAAGATAAAATGGAGTCATCAAAGCATGGCCAGGATCAAGGAGGCTGGAACATTAAGTAACAATTAAACAATGTTACCTGGGAAACCAATTTTATCTCAAGGAACATTTTTCTTGAGAAAAGAGTGTAATTGTCCAAGGAATTGATCACTCCTTGGACAATTACACAACAAACAGGTAGTTGGAGCTCTGGCCAAGCTCCAGCCATTGTTAGAACGTGTACCCTGGATCTGAGCACTCCCCAGGGAGACGTACACAAAACAAAACATCAAGATCGTTTTTCCTGGTTTACGTACGTATAAAAAGGGTCATTGGAAAGGGAGATTTTGGAGACTTTGATGCAGAGACAGGGACGTGACTCTCTGCCGGAGGCGAACTGCAGGCACAGCCTTTGCTGCGTCCTGGGGTAGGACGCTCCCCGTTGCCTCCCTGATCAGACCTTTTGGCCGTTCTCCAGGCTCCCCGGTCTATTAGGTATTTGAGCTCACCTGATCAGTGAGTGTGTATCCTTTCTCTTCTTATTCCTACTTTCCTTCATGTTGATTATCACTTATTGCATTGAATGTTATTATCTTTATTGCTTGTGTGGTTTTTAATCATTATTAATCATTGTAAATAAATGTGATTATTGGTTAAGTTTATCCCGAGTATGTATCATTATATCTTGAGATCTGAACCCAAATCGAATCTGCGCAGTACGTAATCCTTTCGGTTACAAGGGCGGAGCCTTCATCTCTGACAGGTCTGTAAGGAAGCTAGGAATTCTTAGACAGGGTTGAGAAAAGAGGCACAGGAATCAGCCTGTACAAAATCACAGAGGGTGGAGACAGAGCCAAGTTCAGGGAATGCCTACTATGCCATTTTGGCTGGAACGTGAAGGGTGTGAGAGGTCCCGCATGAAATAAGGCTGGAAAGGCAGTAGGGAGCCAGGTTATGGCAGTCTTTAAATGCCAGGCTCATTCGTTTGTATTTTATCTTAGAGGTAATAAGAAAGTCACTGAGGACTTTTGAGCAGGGGACTGACATGACCAGGCCTATGCCTTAGGGAGATTACTTTGCCAGCTCTGTGGAAGATGGATGGAGATGTGAGAGCCGAGAAAGAAGACGAGGCTGATACAGGCCGGATGCTTTGCAGGGTGTAAATGACATTAGGTCAAAGAGACAGTTTCCTCATTTGTAAAATGAGCTGGAGAAGGAAATGGCAAACTGCTTGAGCATCTTTGCTAAGAAAACCCCAAATGGGATCACAGAGAGTCAGACATGACTGAAATGATTAAACAAAATTGAGTCTAGATCTGCCTGTTTGTAACTTCCCTGCCCACTGAGCCCTCTGGACTCAAGTGGAGCAAACTGAAACCCTCCTCCACCGGCCAGTCCTTCGAACACTTGAAGGTACTACCCAAGACTCCAGGCACAATCTCCCAGTCACTACTCTTCTCTTCTCCAGGATACAATTCCTTGTCCTCATGAGGCACTCTCTCCGGACCATTCACCACTCTGTCTTGTCAGCCTCCTTCCCAAAATGTGTCACCTGGAAGACTGGAATGAGCAGAGCTAAGAAAAGGGCATCAGAAGATCAGCACACCCAGTGACTACAGGGATGCAGAGGGAAGAACGTCAGAGGCACTGGCACTGTATCAGGCCGTCTCTGTTCCAGAAATAGATAACGAAACACACTTTCTTCCTAGAGGAGTGTTGGACTGTGAGTATGGAACGTCGTACACATTGTCTGATGGTTCTGTTTAACTGGGGGAGTTTTGGTTATTAAATGCTTTTTGAGTTCATGAATTGGGTTCAGGGTAGGGGATGTGGATATTGGGAATCAGGTACTATGCTAGGTTCTGGGATAGAAAGACAAACATGAAACAATGCCTGTCTTCAAAGAGCTTATTCTATTGGGAGAATCAACTCAAGAAAATAGCAATTTATGAAGCACTGTGCTATGTGGTGGGGATACAAATAGAAGCAAAGACAAAAAAGGAGCCCCTGCCCTCAAGGAGCTTACATTCGGAAAAGAACACCCAAAAGAGTTCTGGAAAGCAGAGAGGCCATGGTTCTGAAGCCTGGAAAGTTGGGAACAGATCCTGCAGGACAATGTCCAGCCTTGGCCCCTCCACAAAATGGAGGCCCCAGGAAGAACTCACCAAGAGTAGAACTGATTCTTGTAGGGGATTTCCCAGGGTGAGAAGGCCACAGGGGTAGCTGGATATATCAAGGTGAGGAGGCCCTAGAAGCTGTGGGAAGTTCTGGGATGAGATAGTAGCAGAGGCCTGCAATCCAGCCTCAGACACTTACTAGCTGTGTGACCCTGGACAAATCACTTAGCCCTGCTTGCCTCAGTTTCCTAAAGTGCAAAATGGGGATAATCTCCTACCCCCTAGAGTTGTGAATATCTAACTCGAATCTGTAAAGCAATAGGTGCTTAATAAATGTTTCCTTCTTTCTGGAAATTCAGGAACAAGGCTGGGAAGGAAATGAAGGCTGGTCAGCCTGGGCCCCTCCAGAGACACATTTAAGTGAACACAAAATATCCACAGGACAACTTTATTCCAACAGACACAGGTATGGGGAAGGTATGTGTGTGTGTGGGGGTTTGGAGACTGAGATAAATTAACAACAACTTATTGTTTTCCGTGCAAAGCTAAAAATGAAAAGGTCTCAGACAGGAGTCACATGGGCTGAGCTTTGACAGAGACCAGGATTCTGACAGGTGAGAAGGAAGTTTGTCCTAGGTATGAGGACAGGAGAGGGGACGTCGTGGGTGAAGGACCATGAAGTCAGGTGGAATCGACCAGTGGTTCCCCAAGAGCACATCTGTAGCTTTGCTAGGAGTGCCCCGAGATTTTGGATGTTTGGTTACTGAAGATGAAACTGACTTTTGTTGAATGCAGATTTTAAATAGCGTACCCAGTGTAGTTACATGCACCTCTTGAAAAAAATGAATAAAACTTACTTAGCACACGAACACACTACTGTACAAAGAAATCACCAAAAAAGTCTTCTCTCACTAAAGGGAAATCCTGCGTGTGGGCATCTCCTGCCTCTCTCACGCTGTTGTCAAATCCAGCAGTGTGCCTTGGCTCCCCGTGGCAAAGAACACTGAGCCCTGGGCTAAAAAAGGTTTGAGAACCACCACAGAATGCAAGAGGGAGCATTCACAGTTTAGAAAGGCAGGCTAGAGCCACACCATGAAAGGCTTAAAGGCCAAACGGTTTGGATCCCATCCTAGAGGCAATGGGGAGCCAGTGACGGTCCTTTAGAGCTGACATGGCCAGACCCACACTCCAGGAACACTGCTTTGGCAGCCGTGCTGCCAAAAAGATGGATCAGAGAAAGCTAGGAGGCCATGGTGGTATTGACAAACAGGAACAAGGCAGAAGAAAACTTGGCACGCAGAACAGAACCCCACCCCTCCACATCTGCTCTGAGGAGGCCCGGTGTCTCTTTTTCGCTGCCAGGTTGTGCTGTTAACATTCATGAAAACCTCCAAATCCTTGCTAACTGCTAAAACTGCTGCGGCTTCAGAGAGCATTTGTCAGCCCCCGGATCGGATGAGAATTTCTGACCCTCACCTCTCCTTTCCTGGAACATCCCATCACATTCCCAGACACGGAGTAAACCTCCATCCTCTGGACGGGATGGGAGTTTCCCTTCCCAATCCCAAGCCTGGCTCCTCACCCTCCCATCCCCCAAGTGGGCCAAGGAATGGCAAGGACCCCTAAACCAGAAGCATAAATAAATGCAAACATTGCGCTGATTTATATTTCAAAAAGTATACCACAGACATCTTATTTTTTTAATTTCCTATTTTTTTTATAAAGAAAAATAAGGTTTGTCTCTTTTTGCTTGAAACACAGAACAAAACTCAAAGCTGGGAGATGCGCGTCCCATCCGCCATGTCCCACCCCCCACCCCAGGACACAGTCAGATACCCACTAATGACCACGAGTAAAGAAAGTTGGGGGGAGGGTGGAGATCTACCTGGCTTCCCCAGCAAGGAGCCCCTGCAGAGGCCAGATAAGCTGGGGTGGGGTCTCCCCTCAAGGCAGGGCCTGAGTCTTGAGGGGTGGGGGGATGTGGCTGTTCTAGCCCAGCTGGGAGACTTCGGCACTATCTGAAGTTTCCCCACTCACTATTTCTTTGGGAAGGAAGCCAATGGGAAAAGTGGTAGTGTTTGTGTTTAAAACAGACAAGCAAACAAAAACCTCACTGTTTGGGCTAATTTATTAAAATAGGAAGAAAAAAAACCCCCACCTATCCTTTAAGTTCTAATTAGTTAGGACTAGGTGACATCAACCACTAGTCCACCAGCTGCTTCCTTCGGAAAGAGTGGGTTTAGGTCCAGATCAATGACAACCCCAGCCTCAAACATCAATTCCTCTGGAACTTAGTCTTAGAGAGTTGCTGGGGGTCAAGTGACTTGCTCAGGGTCATACCGCCAGTCTATGTCAGCAGCAGGACTTCAACCCAGGTCTTCCTAACTCAGAGGCTGCCTTCTCAGCCCCCAAGTTAAGGTTGCAGAAAAGCAGATGTGCCTTGGAAACTAATCCTCATTCTTTAGAATTCCATCTCCCCAAGAGATCCGGAGGCCCCAAAACCCCTGGAGGGCAGGAAGCAGGTTCCAAGATCCCAAATTAGGGAGGGACAGATGATGGGAAAAGGACAAATTCACTTAGGCCTCAGATGACTCCCACAGTCACTGACCCTTCCTCAAACACTTGGTAAAAAATAGTAACAAAAAACTTTCTAGAGTAAGAAATCTAAAGTCTCCTAGGACAAAAGATTCTAAGACGGTTCATTCTTCCCCAAACACCTGATTGGTTTAAAAAAAGGGTTGGATTTTTTTTTTAGAAAAATAAAGCAAACTCCTTGAATACAACTATGTGTAAAGCTATGATAGCCCTCCGAAGACCCAGTATTCTCTCCCTGACCCCTCTACCCCCACCAAGTATTCATTCACGCCCAGGGGCTTCCTTCTAACCAGCACAACCCCATGAGACAGTGACGTCCATCCCACGAGCATAAATGCCATAGTTATGGGACACACACACACACACACACACATACACACACACACACACACGATCCATCCTAATCTCAACTCAAGCCAATGATGACGAGACCGACAGTTTGGCTCAGATCACAGACACAAGCACGGATATGGACGCGAGCCACATCTCGTCCGTCAAGCAGAGAGTTCAAGCACCAGGTGTCAAAAGGCCACTTTGCCCCTCCTGGAATCACTCTCAAACTCATGAGGGGATGCGGCAAGGGAAGGTCAGAAAAGTACAGATGGAGAAAACCACCATGCCACTAGTCACCAGAAGAAAACATGGAAATGGGAGGTGAAAACAGAGGCAGGTACGGCAGAGGAGAGGGGGAGGGAGGCTGAAACGAGAGCCTGGACGAACACAGATGGTGGCTCCGAGGTGAGCACGGAAGGCTGGAGGTAGCACCATCCATCGACTTTGAACAGGGTAGGTCACTGGGGGAGAGGTTTCACAGTGAAGCCCCCCACCGACAGCGGGTGGAGAGAAAGAGAGGAGCTGGCCTGGGAAAAATCAGTGCTCAAGGGAGGATGCTGGATCTTAGCTCGCATCCCCAAACGCCCCTCTCTCCATAGGCAAAGAAAAAACAAACAAAAAAGAAGAGGCCACATGAAGAGAGCTGGGTCAGGGACCCTGAGCAGACGGACCTGTGCAGGAGAGGGCAGAGGGAGGCAGTGTGACTGCTGAACAGGACTCTTGTTGGGGATGGGGTGAGGGGAGCCAGGGTGTGAGCTGTGACAAAATGCACAATGTTGATGGGCGCTGTTTGGCTGCTCGGGCTATCCCCTGAGGGATGAGGGAGAGGGAGTGGGAGCAGAAGCTCCACATCCCGGTGGAAAGAGGAAAGAGTTTCCTTGGCATAAAGCAGATCTCACTGCCCCAGCAGGAGACAGAGGAAACAGGGCCTGCTTGCTACAGGTTGATGGCAGAGGATGTTTGTTCTTAAGATGACAAGCTTCCCATCCAAGGGGCCTAAAATTCACGAACTTTTCTGTTACCAGAAGGAAACACACACACACAGACACCCACCCACCCACCGAGTGCTTGCAGGGCCTAAAATTCATGAACTTTTGTGGTTCCAGAAGGCAACACACACACACACACACACAGAGACACACAGAGACACAGACACAGACACAGACACACACACACACACACACACACACACACGCGACCCCCAAGTGCTTTCAAGACCTCAGGAAGGTCTCGTCTGCTTCCTCACTCCCAAACCAAGCTCCAAGTGAGAAAGCCTGGCCTTAGGAAAGCCATCCCTGAAAGACAGGACAGCACAACAAGGTCACGGGTGGTGATCCGAGTCCCCACCGGGTCAGGGCAGGCCTCCACTCACTCCCTGCTACAGACCAGCATCCCAGTGGCGCCGGCCCCTCTGGCCAGGTGGTGGATGGGGTATCCGAGGGGCCCAGGCTCTGGACACCACCATGAGGCCAAGCAGCCCAAGGAAGGAGACCAGGGAGAGTCTTCAGGCAGCCCCAGAAGACCATGTGGCACCTGAGCGTCTGAGCACCTGGGCAGAACAGCCACCCTGTCCAAAAAACAGGCCAAAAGAGAAGGGGAGGAAGGAGACCTAAGAGCTAGCCAGTTCCTCTCCTTTGAGACGGCTTGGGCTCTCTCCTCGGCAGCAGCTTCCAATCCCGAACACACCTCACAGAAGCCACCGGGGTTCAAGGGAAAAGAGCCAGAGACGTCAGCAGGGGAGGGGGCAGTCTCGGAGGTGGCTCCCTGGAGAGCAGGTCACAACCCTGTTGAGGTCCTCACCACCAGCGCTATCTCTGGTGGCGGGGGGAGCAATAAGCATTCAGTTGTAGAAGCAAGCAAGGCCCACGGGGGAGAAGGGAGAGGAGGGGGCGGCAGGATCCACAGCAACATGCATCACAGAGTCTGGGGGCCGCAGACCCCCGCGCCCCTCTGGCTGGGCCGCGGGCTCAGCGCAGGCTCTGGTACAGGTAGGCGGACGTGAAGAGAGCATTGGCCGCCAGGCTCACGGCCAGGAGGCCTCGCACCACGGAGCTGCCGAAACGAGCTGAAAAGAGAAAGGAGAGAACTGGAACGGGAGCACCTGGGGGCTGGAAGGACCCGCGGTAGGTCCCTGCAGAAGCCCCAGTACACTACCCCATGTGGCAGCCGGCCGGCTGGCCTCCACCTGAAGGCCTCCGAGGCTGCGGCCTGCCCTGGGCGGGCCTCTCCTGACCTCGGGCCCAAACAGCCTCTCTGTGACTTCTGCCCGGCTGCTCCTGGTTCTGCCCTCTCGCCAAGCACAAGAGGCCCAATGCTGCTTCTGAATTATGCCACGCCCTTTACACTCCCTTCTTCCCCCGGTCCCCCCAAACCTCTCCTCTCCAGGCTATCTCCAATTCCTTCAGCTAGTCTTCTGACGGCACAGGCCTGAAGCACTGACCGCCCTGGCTGCCCTCCATGTCATCAACGTCCTTTCTAAAACAGGGTGCCCAGAACGAAGCAGAGCAGAGTAGACAGTGAGCCTGTCACCTGCACCTTTCTTAATGCAGTGCCTGGTACGCAGCAGGTGCCTAATAGATGCTTGGTGGACTGCGCTGACTTTAACAGTCACACCACACTGCAGAATGGACTCATGCTACTGTCTGGCCGTGCGTCCTTCTCGTATTTGTGATGTTCATTTTGGGAACTCAACTGCAAGCCTGTTAAAGCTCCCTATTCAGCGTATCCCTGCTAAATTTCATTCAGTGCAGTGTTCTGGTCTGTCAAGATGTCTCTGGCCTCGGATCCTGCTGTCCCTAGGTGTTGTTATCCCCCTCCAGCTTTAAGGCAGCTGCCAATTTCACAAGCACGTCACCTGTGCCTTTACTCAAGAGCCATAAAAATGCTGTCTAACACAGAGCCAACCACAGACCCCCTGGGCAATCCCCTGCAGACCTCCACCAATAAGCATTTGTGCCGGACTCTCCGAGTTTGGCCATTCAGCCACACTGGAAACCATCTAACCACCCCAGGCCCCAGACTCGCCATCTTCTCCAGTCAATGGCCTGGGAGCGTGCCAGATGCTCGGCTAAAACCTAGGTAAGCGATCTCACCAGTGTTCCCCAGACCTGAGGGTTTAGTCATCCTGGCTCTTCTGGTCCCTCTGCTGGGAGCCGCTCCTGAGGAAGCCATGCTGCCTCTCGGATCACTGCCTTCTTTCCTAGGTGCTTACTAACCATCCCTTGATTATTATGCTCGAGGATCTTTGGGAAATCCAAGTGCAGCTCACTAAGCTATGGTCTGCAGATGTCATTCTCTTCCTCTTTTTTTAAAATAGGGACACAGGTGCATCTTCACTCCTGTGGGCCCTTTCCTGTTCTCAGCTATCCTCCCCAAAATCACCTACAGTGGCTCAGCGACTTCCCTAACTGGTTCTTTCTGTATCCAAGGATGCCTAGCTCCTCAGAGCCCAGTACCGTGAGAAGTGGACTGGAGGCCTGGAGCCAGAAGGGACCCTAGACCTCTCCTCCAGGCTGACTCCCCGCATTCACCAATGAGCACAGGGCAGGGCCAGCAAGTGGAGCCAGCTGCCCAGGGCTCCAGAGTGAGCAGGTATCAGAGGCGGGACATGAATACGAGCTCTCTCAACTCTAGATCCATCCCTTGCTCTCCTCTACCTCACTGCCTCTGCAGGTTGATAAAAGATGACCACACCCCTCAGGAAAAAGATGTCTCTCCACCCCCGGGGCAGGGAGCTCCTGCTGCCCGGGTGAGAGGCAGGACGCTCTGGGAGGTGCCCTCGGTCTCGACCCAGAGTCAAAGCTCAGATGTTAGGGGTGAATGCAACTCCTGTCTTCTCCCTCCTCTCGAGTCCTTTCTTGAGGATATAGACCCTGAACCTAGCTGGGACCACCATGTCTACACCTCAAACTCCATGTCTCCCTCCCTCCTCCCTACCTCTCTCAGACCCAGGACCTTTTCAGTTCTCTGGGCCTCTGCAAAATGAAGGGGTCAGACCCCATGATTATTCACTCAATCTGTGGGTTATCCTCTTTCAGGATCAGATCATCTCAGACTCCTGGGCTTTTCTCTGAGCACACATTAAGTCCACTCAAAGCTTCCATCCTTGTCCCCTTGAAATATTAGTGCAGCTGGCCAGCTGGATGTCTCCGCTACAGGGAAGGCCACAACCCTAGCACACACAAACCGTCTTCCCATTAGCTAGAACGTGGAAGAAATCCACCACCCCATCCACAGCAATGCCCTGGACTCTGAAACAGGCTGAACACCCAACTTCTATGTGAGGTTCAGCAAAGGTCATGGGTCATAGGCTTAGAAAGCACCTTACTAAATCACTCAATCAAAAGGCATTAAAGACTCATGGGCTACGTGTCTGGGACACAAATACAAAAGAAAGAAGGTCCCTGCACATCTCCAGGAGCTGACATTCTACCCAGGGAAGCAGCACATACCCTGTGAATACACCCAAAACAATTATGGGGCAGCACCAGCAGCTGGGGCCTTAACTAGCAAAGCCTTCGTGTAGGGAACGGTGCTTGAAGGGAGCTCTGAAGGAAACATTCCTCACACTAGGCTTATTAGCCTTACAATGCAGAAGCATCCGTTAGAATGTAAGCTCCTCGGGGGCAGGGGTTGCCCTGGTTTTGTCTTTACAAGCACGAGGCTGGGCACAGAGCAGGCGCTATTTACTAGACAGATGTTTGCTGAAGTTACATGAACAAAGATATGGGAGTTAGTAACGTGCTCCTGCAGTCAGGAGCCCGGGAACACAAGCTCCCTTAGTGTGCGGGGGTAGAACACACACCTTTCCAGGCCACGGCCTCCTCCAGGCACCCTTTGGTAGTGGTGTCAACCACACAGGCCGATGAGTGTGATGAGCCATCCTCTTTTTTGACGGAGTGGTCGCTGCAGATGCTACCGCTCTCGATGTGGCACCGCAAGTCTGGGGACAGAGAGAGACACTTCACAAGGGGATCTGACTGCGCACGGGAGAGACGAGGGGAGGCCTGCTCTGAGCTCTCTGGCCACTCCCCATCACTCTGGGTCAAGTTTCGGGGGGTGGGGTGGGTGGGACCCAACAACCTAAGGGCTAACCCCCGCAGGAAAGCAAAAGCTGTTTGCTCACTCAAGGATCACTGCAAGGCAGCTGCGTCTGGGGTGGTGAGTAGCAGCTTTAGTGACCACACGGCCACCACAAGCAGCGGAGGAGGGAGGACCCTGCAGGTCACTGAAAACCACAGAAGGAAAAGAAAATGGAATCAGACTAGAGGGGCACAGGAAACAATATCCTCTTAAGGTAACCTAATGACTACAGGTAACGTGAAGGGAACCAGGTTCTGGAGGGCGGCCCAGGGGTCCAGGCGCTCACCGCAGAGCTGGAGTTGGAAAGGCCTACTACTGTATGCTCATTAACTGGGCACCATTACAGAATCATTAAGGACAATGTAAGTTCCATGAGGCCAGGCCCTGCTTCACTTTTGTCTCTATTTGCCAGAGGACCTTTACTTTCACAAATTGTTCATTAATTGTTGAATTAAATTGCAAGGGCTTGATAAGCTCAGAGGATCTCTGGCAGCCATCTGGTTTAACCAACAGCTCAAGAGGAATCTCCTCTCCTCCACCCAGTCAGGTCATGGAGCCTTAGCTTGAAGACCTCTAGTGACAGAGAGCTCCTTACTCTCCAAGCTAGCTCATTAGCTCTTCCTTATATCAAGGCCCTTCCTCCAAGGCCAGAGACCATGGGAACTATCACCTCACCTCAGACCTATGCCACCACTTGCCCCCCAGCTCCCTCCCTCCTCCCTGGGGGTCTCTTACCCAAGGATGGGCCAGACCTGATGTTCTGTACGTAGCTTGCCAAACTGTAAAGGGGCCCAGGCACAAGGCTTCTCTCGCCTCTTCCAGTCTGATGGGGAAAGGACTTACCACGCATGGGCTGGAGGCCCTGTGCAGGCTGCCTCTTGCTAGGGAATCGGGAGGACTCTGGGCTGAGCAGACCACCATCTGCAGGGCTGGGCTCATCAGAGCTGCTGGGGATGTGGGGGGTCTCCCCCGGGGACGGGAACAGCAGAAGCTTCTGCCCCTTCAGGTTGAGGCGGGCCGGGCTGATGAGAGGCCGTCGGAGGCGAAGGGAACCGGAGCTGGAGCCCACAGACTCTGACACGGAGGGAGCCGGGGAAGGAAGAGGGGATGACGCACAGCTCCCAGACAGCAGACTGAAGTAATCTGGAGGAGACATAAGGAAGGGGCAGGTTGCAAGGGAGAGAAATCAGACCTTTAGTAGCTGTGACAAATAAAAGCATGGCCAGAAACAGACATCAAGGGGAGAAAAGGGGTTTCTCAGCACTGTGGATGTGAGAAGCAGGGAATCCTGGTTACCCGGAATCATAGAACACCAGCATTGGGAAGGACCTCGGTGGCCACCTAGACCAGTTTCACACAACATACCTGACGAGCTATCATCAGGCTGCTGCTTAAAAGACCTCTGACTAGCAACCCATGCCCCCCCCCCCGGGCCTGTTCCACTGCTGGACAGCTCCCACTGCTAGCAAATGGATCTGTGATCCCATGGACTCAGGAGCTCGATCCCATAAGACTGTAGCCTACTCATCACAGGCCTCAGCCACCCCTTCCTACACATTCACCACTCACCACGCCCGCACATCCAGAGCACTGAATGGGCTGCTCACCCATCACCCCTCAGGTCCCCCCATCCTTCCTAGCCTCCATTTCCCTGAGCGCATGCCTTCCTCCTGTTCTGAGATTCCTTCCTGGTACTGGGTTACGGCCCACTCACACCAAAGGCTGCGTTTCCACCGCCCTCTTTTTGTGATGCTTATTTCCCATTCTTTGGCGTTGGTCATGTTTCTTGCTGTAGCCACAAAGCAACACTGGTAGAATTTTGCTATTAAAAAGATGGGTCCCAAGGCACTAAAATGAAGCACACTGCCAACCTCCAGACAGAGTGGATGGACTCCAGGGGCAGAAGAACAGACATTTTCAGACACAGCTGATGTATTTTGGTTACAAAGAGGTGTCTTTATTATATAACAAAGAGGCACCTTTATTATACCCCGCCCTATTTCTAATTGGGATGGTTTGGGAGGGAGAAAAGGGCTAGGTGTAAGATAAAGAGAGAAGATGGGGAAGAAGAGGAAAGAAGGGGAAAGACTATCATTAAAGCATTTGGTTTAAAACCAAATGCAGAGAACAACAGAAGGTTGGCCAGAAAGAATCAGACAAGCAGAGGAGCTTTGAAGGTTACATCTTGGTGGTACAACACACTAAACAGAGTCATTAAGACTCGAGTTCAAATCTGGCCTCAGACACTAGCTGTGTGATCTTGGCAAGTCATTTAACTTCTGCTTACCTTAGTTTCCTCATAAAGTTCCTGTAAAATGGGGATAACAGCACCCACCTCCCAGGGTTATTTTATTTTATTTGTTAGGCAATTGGGGTTAAGTGACTTGCCCAGGGTCACACAGCTAGTAAGTGTCAAGTGTTTGGTCTGAGGCCGGATTTGAACTCAGGTCCTCCTGACTTCAGGGCCAGTGCTCTATCCACTGCGCCACCTAACTGCCCCTCTCCCAGGGTTATTTTAAAGATAAAGTGGGATATCCGTAAAGTACTTTACAAACCTTAAAGTGCTATGGAAATACCAGCTATTATTATATTGAATTTATTATGTATTTAAAAAGAAAAGCAGGGGCAGCTAGGTGGCGAAATGGATACAGCACCGGCCCTGAAGTCAAGAGGACCTGAGTTCAAATCCGGCCTCAGACCAAACACTTGACCCGTACCTTGGGTCAAGTACCTTGACCTTGGGCAAGTCACTTAACCCCAACTGCCTCACTAACAAAACAAAACAAAACAAACAAAAAAAAGATGTACATAAGAGATTTAGGAGAATCATACAATCTTCTTTTACTATGAATGTGGAAATGCCCATTTTATTCAAAGTGTTAAGTTCAAGGTAAAAATAAATTTGAAAAATGAAAAAGATAAATAAGTGCTTAATAAATGTCTGTTAAACTGCATTACTGAATTGAAGGTGGAGACAAAAATGGAATTTTGTTTTTGGAAGAAATGTGGGGTCATTAAAAAGAGCTTTTCAATTTTTTTAAAACATTTTTATTTAGAGTTTTGAGTTCCAAATTCTATCCCTCTCTCCTTTCCTCTTCTCCCCACTTCCCTGAGACAGTGAGCAATCAGACATAGGTTACGTATGTACAATTAGACGGTGAGATTTTAGCCAGTACCTGAAGGAAGCCAGTGAAAGTGGGATGCCACAAGAGACCCTTCACAATAGACCATCATCTTTACCATCACACAATTTACTGAAAGATGTATGAAATATGAGATCCTATGGTGCCTGCTGTTTGTGACTGTTTGAAAGAACATTTGACTTGGCGAAGCAAAACACGTTAGAATTACTCTTTCAACAAGAAGTCAGAATTATTCACCATCATCTGGCAAGGCCTAAGATGGAGATAAATGTACTTGTGTTTGCCTCTGTGATTGAGACTGAGAGCAGTGTAAGCTGAAGAGAGATCTCCTGTGGATGCTGTACATCAACCTGCAGGTTGGTATCAAGTTGGCTCCATCACACCCCAGGATACTGCAGAACCTCCTGGAAGACGTCGATAATCACCAAAAAAAGTGTTTGGCCTGACCACCCCACCAGAAAGATCAAATGGATGAACAGCATCTGCTGCCCAGATTATGACATGCAGCTGAACCTTCCTGAACCTGGCCACCACTGTGTATATCTGGACATGTCCAGCAGAGAGGACCACCACGCTGGGCCTTCATACCCATCATGCCCTCTAGCCCTCATCTCCTCTGTGGATGCTTGCTTCAATTCAGCTCTTTCCTATCTTTGTTCTCATTACTGCTGCCATTTTTAGCTCATTGTCAAGAATCCAAGTGTGGTACCTCTACTGTCCTAGTGGTAAAAAGTTTATCATTTTAAAATAAATCTTTGCCGATCTCTCCCATTCTTCTCCCATTTGTTGCCCTTCCATTTTTATCTTTAAACAGCCTCAAGATGAAAGCTTAGTTGAGTCTCTTGTCATTTTCTGCTTCATGAAGCAGCACTAGTCATGATTTTCCATGATCTTTCTGCAAGGCACAGAGTTAAGTGCTTTATCAAGCACTCTTACGTCTTGCTTGCTTTTTACCGTTCTAGCAGCCGAGTTCTGGAAGCTCTTCCACTTCCAACATTCCTCCTCTGACTTGGATCTCTCTCTTTCTCTCCTCTAGCCTCAAGCATAACTGCAGGAGATAAGCCAGGAAATACTCCCCTCTCCTAGCCCTTCCCCTATAGCTTTGGGGCTACCAGAAGGGAAGGAGCAGGGAACACACTTGCTGGGATTTCTGCTTCTTTCTAAACCTGTGTCAGCACCCAGGCCCAGTAGGGTCTTCAGCACATTCCTAGTTCAGGGGGACCAAGATGGTATTTGGGGGAACAAAGCTGAGATTGAAAGCTTTCACAATTCAATGAACTTTTTGGATTTGATGTTCTTGATCTAGTCCTGCTACTTGCTGTTTCATAAGTGACTCTCTGTGACTCAGTTTCTCCAACTGTGAATTGAGATCATCCCCCAAAGCCTGGGAATGTGAAATAATAGGATTAAATGCCTGGTTCACTGTGAGAAAAGCCACTGAAGTATTACGAAAATGTGAACTATTATTAATACTAACCCTCTGAAAAACCTACTTTTCAAATCTTCCCCTTTCCCCCAACTCTCTCCCCTTCCCTCTAGAGGGTGCAGTCAGAGGAGGGCTGGACATGAAGTTAAAGAACCTGCCTTCCAGTCCCAGCTCTGCCACCTGTGGGACCTCAGGCAGATCCCTTAATTTCTCTGGTCCTCAGTTTCCTCATGCGTAAAGTAAGGAGGTTCGACCAGATGGCCTCAAAGTCCCTTCTGGCTCAAGTCTGTGATCCTCTGATCCCACTCCAGTCCCCAAATCTGGCATTTCTCCTTGCCTGATAGAGGCGCCTCCTTGGAGTGAGATCCCTGAGATGGTGGGCGGCTCCCACTGAAAAGATATCCTGAATCTGGAGAGGAAAGAGAAACAGAGAATGTCATGAGTACGGCCACCTTGAGCAGAGTGCTTCAGCTTCCCATCTCACCCTAGAACACACAGCATATTCGCTCCCTCGAGCTAGATGGCACCCGCCCTTCAAAGCACAGCTCAAGACCCACCCCCTAAGCCTTCTCTGCCTGCACCAGTCTCCTCTTTTTCTGAATTCTTCACCGTGAAACATTTACGCTTTGTTTGGTCTGCGTTCATAGACTGCTGTGATTCCCGTCAAATTTTCTATTACGCTCTCACGTACTCAAACTTCCAGGCAAAAGAACTAGAAATTGAACAGATACCTATCAACTGGGGATTAGCTAAACAAACTGTGTTATGTGATTGTGATGGAATGCTATTATGCTACGAGAAATGACAAGCAGAATGCTTTAAGAAAAATCTGCAAAGACTGACATGAACTGACACTGAGTGAAGTGAGCAGAACCAGAACATTGTACACAGTAAAAGCATATTATAATGACGACAAACTACGAAACTTAACTACTATGATTGATACAATGATCCAAGACAATTCTGAAGGACCCATGATGAAAAACGCTATCCAGCTGCACAGAGAGATCTGATGAGTTCTGAGTGAAACTGAAACATACTCCCCCCCCCACTTTTTCTTGTTTTGCATGATTTCACATGTATAACTGACGTATCATTTGCCTTCTCAGTGGGTGGGAGGAAGAAAATCTGGAGCTCAAAGTTTTTTTTAATTGAATGCCAAAAGCAAATAAATAGTTCTAAAAGGAGTGCTTCCCACTAAACTGGCCTACTGTGCCTAACACGACACTCCAATTCTTGCCTCTGTGTCTGTGCGCAGGCTCTCCTTCTTCATTTCTCTCTCAGAATTCCTAGCTCCTTTCTGGGCTCAGGAATGCAAGTTCCTTAAGGCTAGAGAATATTTTGATTTTTGGGTCCATATGTTCCAGTGTGTAGCCTGTCTTTAGCAGACCATCCTTCTTCTCTCTTGACCCCCAATCTAGCCTACAAGCGATGTGCCCTCCAGCACCATGGACAGACATCGCAGGGGTCCTTGTAAAAGCAAAGGAATCAAGCCCCTGAAGCAGAGATTCTTAACCCGGGGTCCATGACTTTTTTCAAACATTTTGACTAACTGCATTTTAATATAGGTTGTAATCCAACATATTCTATGCATTTAAAAACACGACTTTAGGGGTCCCTAGGCCTTTCAGAACATGCAGCCACTATGGCTAACCCAACCAGCACTTATTAAGCGCCTACTGTGCTCCGCAATTAGCATACAAAACCAAAACAAAACTCTTCCTGCCCTCAAGGAGCTCATATTCTACCACGATGGCTGACATTTTCCCTTTTTGTTTTTGTGTCCCAATGTAAGACTTTAGTAAGATGCTTTCTCAGCCTCCACGATCTCCTCTAATCCTCACAATAATACTGTTAGGTGGGCATTATGATGACATACATTTTCACAGCTGCAGAGAGCGAAGCTCAGAGAACTCGAAGATTTGCTCAGGGTCCCACCACTAGGCAACACCTCAGGTGGGTCCTCCTGACTCCAAGTCCAAGACCCTGTACCCTGCATCCTGCCATCTTGACGTGAGAGGAGAGAAGGAGCAACGCTAAACTTGAAGTGCTCCCTTGGCACAAGGAGGGTCAAAGGCCCAGCCCCAGAACAGGACTAGCTCAACTGGCTGTCCCAGATGGAGCACTGGAAAGCTGTCTCTTCCAGACCCCCTCCCCCCCCCACCCCACACCTGCTAAGGCCCTGAATGAGGGCTTGTGAAAGCCAGAAAGGGGATTTCGGTGTCATCTCTCTTCAAAGGGAGGAAAAGCAAGGGGTGCGGCTGTGAAGGAGACACCCAAACCCGCCGCAGGGGAGGGACCCTCTTCATCCTTACAGACAAAGGCCTGTTCCTCAAGCCTGTCATTTATTTTCTAAGGAAAAGATTAGGGGCAGGAATCACTCCCCTTCTGAAGTTAAGACCCTGCCTTTTATCCTGTAAAGGATAATTAACGATACTTTATTTAAAGGAAAAAAAGGCAAGCAAACCGCTGTGCCTTCAGATCCTTGTTCTTCCCTCCCTCAGAGCACCATCCAAAAAATCCCAGCAGCCATTCCACCGCAATCTTGTTTTCTGGTCTTGAAAAGGGGGAGTGGAAAAAGATGGATAACTCAGAAAGATGCAATGGGGGGGGATGTCAGAGCTGGGAGGGGCCTAAGGATAATGCCAGAGCTGGGAGGGCCCTGAGAACAGGCAACAGCAGAGCCAAAGGGGCCTCAGGGCACAGAATCCACCTAGCATCAGTTTCAGTGCTGGCGGTCTGGTCCACAAGCCAGGCTGAAGCCTTAATCTTGTCCTTACACAGCCTGACCAGGGAAGGTCAGAGGAGCATCATAGTACTGGAAAGAACACTGGATCTGAAGTCAGAGGAGCTGGGTTCAAATCCTGCTTTGCCACTTACATCTGTCACCTAGGGCAAGCCACAAAATTACCCCAGCCTATTTCCTCTTCTATACAACGTGAGGGTTTAGATTCAATGATTCTTAAATCCCTGCTTCCAGGTAACTTTGCAAAGAAGATGTAAGGGTGGTTAAAGCCACCTGAGAAGCCTCTGAGAGCCACAGGCAGCCGGCCCAGAAGAGGCCCTACAAGAGCCAGGGCAGGCCTCAGCAGCCAGGCCCCTGACTCCAGGCTCTGTCCTTCCCCGCTCCCCACCAGTCTCCTGCTTATCCAAATGCCAAACCGCTCCTCACCTGCTCGGGTCAGGGTGGGGATGGTCCCCAGAGAGAGGGCCCTGTTGAGTCGTCCTGGAAGGGAGGAAGAGGATGTCCGTCGTGGAGACCTGAACACCTGCTGGTTGGTCAGATGGAAGAAGGTGGGTGGGGCTGGGACGAACAGAGTCGGCGACACTGGAGGGTATGGGAAGGCCAGTCCATTGTTGCCGGGGAAGAAGGAACTGGAGTCTCCTGAGAGATACCTGTGAACAACACAGATGACATGGCGGGGGAGGGAGAGACAGCAGGCCCAGGAGGCCCCGAGAGGTAGACGCTGACCATCCCTCCCAATGGGAGCAGGAGCCCAGGCCAGGAGGAGCCCAGAGCGGGGGAAGGTGTGAGGTTAGTGAAAGCAAGGAAACAATCTAACCACATTCACATCATTAGGAGCGGGCGGCTGGGAGGTGCCAGCATGACCCACCCCTCACCCCCCAAGCTCATCTCCGCCCTTTTTTTGGATCCCTCAGAAATTCCCATGAGCACTCAGGCAGACTAATTTCACTACAGTGCAAAGGTCTCGACTTTAAAGGGACACTGTCACCCCTGCTGACCCCTGCTCTGTCCACTCACCTGTCCTCTTCCCCTATGAGATTCCTAGGACTTGGGACCCAAACCCAGGCTCATGCCCAGCACGCCTCCCTTGGTGGTCCAGCAGTCCTACTCAAACTGGGCCAGCTGGGACCAGGGTTTGCAGGCAGGCAATGGGAAAAGGGTTAGGATCACGCTTTGGGGTTCCAGACCAACACAATACCTTGTTGGGCAACCCTAGTTACATGATTTAGAAAAAAACAAAACCAAAAACACTTGTACATTTCTGCTGCCTCGCCAAAGGGGAGGATCTTGCAGGAAGATGGGGAGAAAGCCGTCTCCTGCTTTGGGCCCCAGGGTCAGCACAATGACAAGGAAAGGGCAGGGAGGGGGATGCAAAGCTTTGGAATGGACACAGCAGGACATCGACATCATATACCAAACTCCAGGCTCGGGGTGATGGCTTTAAAATGACTATTAAAAAAACATGAAAACAAAGAGATAGAAATATATGTAAATGAGCCAACCACTGGACAAAAGGTGACAGTGTCTCTTTAACTCAAGAACAAGACAAACGACCACCAGACTGGAAGGTCCACAAGCCAGAATTTTAACCATGCTGCTGATTAAAGCAATCGATTATGGAGGGGGGGAGGGGTGAGAGTGACCAGAGGGAATTAATAGATTAGTCTGCCAACTTGGGGGGGGGGGTGGCGAGTAGGGAGGAGGGGATCTGGGGAAGGGCAAACCTTACCTCTGGTCCCAGGGGACAATTGAGGCTGGTGGACTAATTCCTAGGATGGACGTTTGTTTGGCTGTCCAGGCTGCTGAATGGGGCGCAGCTGGAAGGCTGTGGTTGGCCTTGGCAATGGGATTGGCAGGTCAGACAATGCTAAGGTTTCCATTCACACCAAATTAAGTGTTTGCTATCAGCAAGGTAAGAGAAGCAGCCTGTCGGCTTTCTAGACCTGTAGCAGGGGGTCAACAGAGAGGACTTCCCATCTTTCTGTTTAGAGACATGGTCCATTTTGGGGAAAACTGGGAGATGTGGGGAGGCGAGGACTCAAACAGCCAGCCTGTGCGGAAACCACAAAGATCAGTCCCCAGGTGTGAGCTTCAGCATTCCATCAGCCCCTCCTGAGGACAGTTTCTGCCCCCTGTCGCTGCTCTTCTAAGGGAAAGTCACCCCCCAAAAAGAGCCACCTAGTATATAACCTAAAGCCCAGCAGTGCGGCCCCTGGGCTTGCAGACCCTCATGCCTGGATCCGAGATAAAGCTTGCTTAGGAGAGACCTTAGCATGGCCTCAGGCAGGCTGGGGGTGGGCACTAGGTGTGTATATGCGTGTGATCAGTACTGAAGGCAGCAGCTTTTCCTGTCCCTGAGGCAGACACACATAGGCACACACTGGCACTGGGGCTGGCAGGTAGGTTTGGAGATGTCCCCAGGTAGGGTGGAGCACATCTCCAGGTGTCAAACAGCCTGGCCTCCTTGAACTAGCTGAGCAGAAAAGCCTTCCCAAGCTCAATTATCCAGACAGCCAGAAGCAAAGGCTTGGCCTGCTTGGGGTCCTATTTCTCACATGCCACCCCCCCCCCAATGCTATATCAGTCCTTATACCGGGCAGCGGCTCCACTCCTGGGCCTATGATTTCTGTTAGCTTTGAGGAGACTCCTAGGACAGCCAATTCCCTACGCTAAATGCAAGAGAAACTTGTATATCAGTGAGCAGACGGGCCCTAGGTGATGACCTGGGGGCACTGAGAGGTGAGCCACACAAGTGACCAGAGACAAGACATGAACCCAGGCCTTCTATCAGCTGGTGCCAAGCTGCTTCAACAAGCACCAAGAAGCCGCTGAGGTTTAAGGAGCATGTGCTCCCAAGGAATTTGGTTTCTAGCTAAATATAAGCATAGATCTACTGTGAGAAAAGAGAACTAGTGATCCAAGCTTACGTCCGTGCACGCATGCATGTACACAGGACCTTAGGGGGGAGCTGAGACCCCAAGGGACCAGCCCAAAGTTCTAGAGGTGAGGCCTGAACCCAAGGCCTCTAACTGCCTGAGAATCAGAGATTTTGAGCTGGGAGGCACCTTCAGAGGCCATGTTATAGAAGTCCCGCATTTGACAGATGAGGAAACTGTGGCCTGGGTTAGGTGACAGTCCAAAGTCAGACAGGTCATTAGCATCAGAGGCAGAATTTGAACCCGGGCCTCTTTCCACTGACTTGTCTAGCTATGTCTCACTTTGTATCCAGACTGTGTGTGTGGTGTTCAAATTAAGATTTAGAAAGTACCTTCCTCTGAGTGGTTAGCTGTATAGATAGAATAGGGAATATAAACTCTAAAAAAAAAAAAGGTTTTTCATCTTCCTTCATTAGGCATAGGGACCTGGCCTGTGATTTCATTACTACTAGGAACTCCTACGCATAGGAACTCCCTCTATCAATACAGGCTGGCACCTTCCCTGTGACTTCCAGCCTTACCCATCTAAGTCCGGATGCATCAGAGGGTCAGGCTCCCCCTCGCTCGGAGGCTGGCTCTCTACCAATACCACGCTGCAGTGCCAACATTATTCACAATCACAGAGAAGCTGCCAGGGCTCAGAGAGAGATGAATGATGTGCTCAGGGTCACTAAGCCAGAAAAGATGGGAGCTGCGGATTCTAACCTTCAAACAGGGCCCCCTGTGCAGCACATCCTCCCTCTCTGAATCCTGCATGCGCACCTCTATGTTGTGGGAGGAAAGAAGCTGCCCACGAGCCCCTCCTCTGCATCCAGACGCCCAGGCCCTGCAGGAGCAGCCTCTGCAGCTGAGCTGCCTCCACGCCCCTGGACACACCGGAATTCACACCCAGGGCTCTTGCTATTCCTGCCATCCGCTTGGTAGGGGGCCCTTCCGAGGGCCCCCTCCCCTTCTCCAGCAAGACAGGCATCAGTCAAACCAAGACGTCTTGGCTTTAGAGCATCTCTGAGGACAACATCAACCAATGGAAAAGGCTTCCTTTAGCCAAGAGATTCAAGTTTCACTTCTGGCTACAGAATTCTTCCAAAGGCACCAGAGAGTTTGGTTTTCTTTTCTTCTTTAAGCCCACCCCTAAAATACCAAGAGACCAAGTCAATTGTCTGAAGTCACACAGAGAGTAGGGCTTGAACCTGGGTGATCCTGCCTCCAAGTCAGCTGCCTGTCTAAGCTCTAGACAACCCTCAAAGACTCTAAGTTGTAGAGAAGGAGATGACCTGCACTGGCGGAGGAGTTTCCTCACCTGGGAGCTCCCCATGCCAATGAAATCACTGGCCTAGTTCTCATCCCTGGTTTAGGTCTGCCTTAATCTAAGCTGAGACTCTTCCTGGCCTCCCAGCCAAAATAGGGACGTTAAGATCTCAGCCCAAAAGGCCTGAATTAAAATCTTCACTGGTCAAATGGGAACCACGCTAAATTAGCTCTGGAGAGGCAGTGGAAGGCAAGAAGAGAGGAGCAATGGAGTAGTCAGACACATGAGAGATTGAGGGGAAAGTTTATTGAGAAGGTCCAGTGAGAGGTGGAGCAGGAAGAAGAGGCCAGCCCACCTACGCTGGCTGACCACCCAGCCCCACCGGCCTGAGGCCCAAGGCCTGACACCTGGAGGGATGCCGGTGGGAGACTGTACATCACAGTCCAAGCCCAAAATGAAACTTCTCTCCAGGTGGAAATGCTTTAAAATTTAAAAAGCATAAAATAGTATGTCACCCAGAATCAAAACCGTTGGACAAGCAAGGGCCAGGAGGCATTTATTTGAAAGCTGTGAACATGAAAACTGGCACCAGAGGTGAGGTTTACAGCAATTGGGGTCACCAGACAATCAACCAAAATACTGCTGCTACAATGACAACGACTGCTGCTGCTGCTGCTGCTGCTGCTGCTGCTGCTGCTGCTGCTGCTGCTGCTGCTACTACTACTACTACTACTACTACTACTACTACTACAACAACTACACAATCTGATGTTCAGAGAAAGTCACAGAGATAGATGTCACAGGACAAGGACACTGGGAGAAACATGGTCTTTAGAATCCTGGCATCCTGGGGTCACCTGGGAAGAAGCCCACAGCCGGACAGGGAGCAATGGGGATCGAGCTGAAGTCGACTAGGAGTGGTAGAGAGGTTCACCTGGGGATGGAGAAAACCCTGGGATGGGAACCGGGGACGGGTAAGGGGCCTTTCTGGGCCAAGCTAAAGGGCTGGGACACTTTTAACCCCCGACAGCGCCACCCTCTCAGCCTGTCCTCAGTGTCTTATCAATCACCCTGCACCCATTGACAGCCACCACAAACCCTTGGCCCTGGGGAGAAAACCCAGCCACTTTCCAATCCAGATTTTCAATCAATACTTCCCAGAGGAAGAAGCCATTTTCCTATACCCTTAGGGTTCCCCAACACCCAACCCCATTGGACATCTTCCCAATGATACTCCTTTTACATCACAGATTTCTCAAAACAAAAAAAGTTTAATTTATGTTAAAATAAATGCAACACAGAACTTGTAAGCAGAGGAAGAGAAGTTACCAAAATGACCCTCCACTCATACACACATCTACACACACACACACACACACACAGAGACCCCTCCTCCCCACACATAAAGGAGGTATGTTATTTTAAATATCAGCTATACAGTACCACTCCCCCAAAACCAGGAATC